CGGGTACTGAAATGGCCAGCCTGCAGTCCAGATCTTTCACCTATAGAGAACATTTGGCGCATCATAAAGAGGAAGGTGCGACAAAGAAGGCCCAAGACGATTGAACAGTTAGAGGCCTGTATTAGACATGAATGGGAGAACATTCCTATTTCTAAACTTGAGAAACTGGTCTCCTCTGTCCCCAGACGTCTGTTGAGTGTTGTAAGAAGAAGGGGGGATGCCACACTGTGGTAAAAATGGACTTGTCCCAACTTTTTGGGGATTTGTTGACACCATGAAATTTGGAAACAACAGATTTTTCCCTTTAAATGATACATTCTGTCAGTTTAAACTTTTGATCTGTGATTTGTGTTCTATTCTGAATAAAATATTAGATGTTGGCACCTCCACATCATTGCATTCAGTTTTTATTCACAATTTGTTTAGTGTCCCAACTTTTTTGGAATCCAGTTTGTACTTGGTTTATTTATATAATGACATTAATTGCTGGATGTCCGGCCCCTGAGCTGCTGGCTTTCATTAGCTGTGGCCCCTGAGCAGTTTAGTATTAATGGAACAAGGTGGAAGAGGGTTATAGACGTATAACTGCACAGACCATTAGTTTCAACAAAAACACTCCTAATATTAAAAGTCTAGCACATCACCTCTTAAAATGAGAAGAAACAAAGTTGGAACAGTTTTAATCAAAGCTTGTGAACAGTCAGGCATCATGTCATGCAGTATTGCAAGATCTTGCAAGATTATTGTTCAGGGAATGAGTCGAGAATGACTCATCTATTACTACACTAAATTTTACCTCAAAAATATCTTCAGATTTCACTGAGTTACTCAGTTTTATGTTGGCTAAAGTTGATTAGCTTTGACAGTGATCTTGAATTGGACTGACTCAAAATAATCAGTTGTAGGTGTACATCCAATGATTACTTTCTTAAATAAATAAATAAATAAATAAATAACAGACAAGCCCCAAAACAAACAGTTTTCAAAATTTCCAAGCTTCTGGTTTTAAGAAACAATAAAAACAAAAAGCTAGAATTGTTGCATCTAACAAGACTGAGTCAGGTCTTCTGAACGGATTGTTTGTTGAAACGTTTCAAACATCATCTTCTTCCAAAACAGTTCTTCTTTAACAAGAAAAAAGGTTGAATCATGTCATCTGGACCAGTTTCTTTAAGTGAGAAATGTTTAGCCCCCCATCCAGAGGACTTCCTCAGTCTGCGGACTGCCAACCAGATCTGTTCCATAGGTAGTCTTCACTGCTGTGTTTCAAGCCAACCTCCTGTTGGAATCTCAGAAGTAGTCTTTTAACATGTGCAAAACTCAAAACAATCAATCATCATGTACAACAATTAAATGTCTTAGGACAGAGGGCAAACTTGCTACTCACAGAAACAGCCTGAGGACTTGACCTTTTTTTTTTTTTTATCTCAGGAAGTCCAACATTTTACTGACC